AATATCAGATATCTTTGCATCTATCACTCATTTTATTTATATTGTAGTTATTTTAAAATTCTACTTTTAATCATATTTATATAGTATTTGTTCCTGAGTAGACTGATTGTGACCTTCCTATGTGTAATGAATTTTAATTTGTCTTTGATTCATCTTCAGATGAATCAGAAGTTGGCTGTGAGCAGCAAGACAGAGGGCCTAACAGGGAATTGGAGTCAAATCTCTCAGTGTTACTCCATTTTCCTCTTTGTATCTCAGTCTCCATGTAAATTATTTTCTGTGTACATTAAAGCAGATAACATTTGGGAAAACAAAAACTTGTCTGATAAATGTCAGTGATTATCTACATCCCATTCCTTGTCCCCAATATGTATAGCAAATGGCAGAAGTTTTAAGATGATGAATTTCAACTTGGGAAAACATGTACTACATAGAAAAAAGTGGGATATCTGCATAAAGTTCTGCTTAACCAGGATTAAAATAAGAAGTATATGTGTATATTTATTTATATACTTGTGTTTAATAATTTAAAAGTTTTTGTAATTATATGTGTCTATATACACATATAATAAGTAATGCTTAAGTTCTTTAAGAATACAGAAATTATGGAATAAAAATTATCAAAAGCATATATAGATACTAAACCTGGTGAACTGACCTAACAGTGTGTCTTATATTACCAGAAAAGAAGATCAAGAGCCCTCACTTACATATATTCTGCACAATTCTCTCTCTATATATTAATTATTTAAAATAGTGGTATTATGTGTATTCACTGTAACTGGGCATTATCTAACCACTTCCATTATTTTAGCTCATTTATTCCTAACTGTGCCTGAGATCATTGTGCTTGTGTGCATTTTATGTAGAGTGGACAGCAGAATAGTGGGTGCAGGATAAGCTGGACCCACAGCTGCAGTACGGCTTCAGAGTCTGGGCTCCTAATGTTGCCCCTAGGATGTCCGAAGGGTTCCTTGGTGAGGCCCACAGGCTACTTGTGAATGTACAGCTCAACCCCCAACTTCACTCCTTCACTGTGTGACCCAGTTTCACGAGCACAATGGGTTCAGACATTCATATGGATTATCTCAAACTGTGATTCAGCTACTTTTTAAGTCTTTTTTAAAACTGAAGTATAAAATTGACATATAACATATTAGTTTCAGGTGTACAATGCAATGACTCAGTATTTGCATGCACTGTGAAATGTAAACTTTTTCTTATATTGAATGAAACTTCAAGAGTTTTTAAGAGCATAAGTGAAATTCTGTGTCCTATAACAAAAACTTTAGAAAGTGATACCCCATCTTTAATAATTCACTTTTTGTGTTTGTATACACCAGTGACTGTGCAAATTTCCATACTTGAAAAAGGACATATACCATAAGGTCATCTCATGACCATGAACTTTGACAATTTCAGAAGCTACCATTTATTTTGTCCCACAGGTGTAAATTATTAATCTTCTGGTATATTCATAGAATTACTGGTAACGTGTAACCTCTAGTTGTCCAGGACCATAAGGTTTCCTCCATTTAGCATAACTGGATTGATACGTGCACACACACACGAGTACACACACACGTGCACACACACACACACTAGTCATTCAGCAGGTGGCATCTCATGAGTGATCCATTACTTCTCTCTTTGGTGGGCCAGCTGAAATCATGGAGGACACCACCTGGATGGCCAACCACACAGAAAGACCAGAGTTCATCCTGGCGGGAATCTTCAGTCAATGCAAACACCCAGTCCTCCTTCGCATGGTCATTTTTGGGGTTGTCCTGATGGCCTTGTCTGGAAACACCATCCTGATCCTTCTGATACGCTCTCAGGCCCGCCTCCACACCCCCATGTACTTTTTCATCAGCCAGTTGTCTCTCATGGACATGACGTACATTTCTGTCACTGTGCCCAAGGTGCTTGTGGACTGGGTCATGGGTGCGAACACGATCTCAGACCCCGGATGTGGGATGCAGATGTTCCTCTATGTGACACTGGCAGGATCAGAATGTTTCACCCTAGCCGCTAGGGCCTATGACCACAATGCAGCCATCTGCCATCCCCTCCGTTACCCTGTCCTCATGAACCACAGGGTGTGTCTCCTGGTATCTAGCTGCTGGCTCCTGGGATCAGTGGATGGCTTCTTGTTCACTCCCATCACCATGACCTGCCCCTTCTGCAGATCCCAGGAGACCCATCATTTCTTCTGTGAGGTCTCTGCTGTGATGAAGCTCTCCTGCTCAGACACCTCCCTGTATAAGACACTCATATACCTCTGCTGCGTCCTCATGCTGCTCATCCCTGTGACCATCATTTCAGACTCTTCCTACTTCATCCTCACCATCCTCAGGATGAACTCGGCAGAGGGCCGGAAGAAGGCCTTTGCCACCTGCTCCTCCCACCTGACTGTGGTCACCCTCTTCTATGGGGCTGCCATGTACAATTACATGCTCCCCAGCTCCTACCACACTCCTGAGAAGGACATGGTGGCATCTGTCTTTGACACCTTACTCACTCCTGTGCTAAACCCTTTGATCTATAGTCTAAGGAATAAGTATGTTATGGGGGCTCTGAAGAAAATGTTGAATGTGGGATCCATCTTTCAAGAAACCATAAAGTAGGAAACTTTGATATCGATGCACTTATATGTTACTCTATATATCATAAGTTTAGAATCTTGCATCAGAATTATTCAGATTTTTATAAGTTTTACACTTTTTTAAGAATTACTTGCATGTAGTAGAAAACTCTTCAATTTCTAACCCTTCTCCATTCAAAATGGATTATACAGTCAGTATTTATGTTACATTTACTAAGTTTGATAACTGCACTGTCTGTAGAAGAATATCCACATTCTTAGAAATAAATACCAAAAATATTTAGAGGGAAAATATCATGAGAAACTATGATATTGATTTAAGTGATACAGAGGGGGATGAGAGAGGGGGAAGTGACAGAGCAAAAAAGGTGGAATGTTAATAACTGGAGAGTCTTGGTAAAGAGCATATGGTTATTGTTTGTATAACTCATGTCCGTGCTAGTTTTCTGTAAATGTAAAATTATTCCCCATGAATGGTTAAAATTTCAATTCTCCCTCCTTTATTGAGTTTTTATTCTTTCCGTTCTTGTATCTGCATTCTGTTTGGTGGCTGTGTATGTGATATACTATCTTCTAAAAATGCTCCTTTCAAAGTGCCCAAGTATTAGCAAGACAATCACCTGCATGCTTTAATTTTGTCTACTTCATCCCTTATTTTCCAACAAAGGCATCAAATGGTGATTAATATTCCCCAGCAAGTAGATGTTTTAGGGCCATGAGAAAACTATAAGCTCATGGTTGGAATATGAATTGGTGAAGGTCCCTTGTATGAAGTGACATTAGACGTAGATTTTGAAGTTCATAATTTTTAGACAAAGGAAGAAAGCAAATAGTCAAACTCATTTATTGAATCAATTACTCAATATATATATTTTTTTCTGTCATATTAATATCCAAAAATCTCAGTGTTAAGTGGTGACTATATGTTACCTCAGTGGAGTGTATGAGGCTGGATCTTGGGGAACTTGTTCAGAGACAAGATACCCCCGAAGAGCATGAGCAGCAGTCATACAGTTATCCAGGCAAGACAGGGAAATGTTCCAGTGACCGTTCCTTTCACGCTTCATGCTGTAGACTCATTTCTTAGCCTTTGGTGACCTAGAATTTTACAAACAGTATTGAAAAGACCAGACTAGCCCTTTGGTGATATTAAATTGATGATAGTCAAATGGTGACCTGAACACGGGAGTTCAGGGGAGCAGGTGAGTATGGACAGTTAGCTGAATGGTGTTGACCTGTGTGCACCTGGAGATACCTGAGCACCAGGAAGGCCTTGTAGGGAAGGTTATTTGAAGTGTGGGGCCTTGGACCCATTTCACAAAGCCACAGACATGGTTGCATACTAACCATGATTAGTTTATGACTGTAAACTATGGATCTGTAGTGTTTGGGGAGGCAATGTGGACCAATTTCCAATATTTTTTGTCACAGTAAAAAAGAACTAATAAAATATGTATATGTCAATTTTTTTTATTTTGGTATCATTAATCTACAATTACATGAGCAACATTATGTTTACTAGACTCCCCCCATTATCAAGTCCACACCACATACCCCATTACAGTCACTGTCCATCAGTGTAGTAAGATGCTATAGAATCACTACTTGTCTTCTCTGTGTTTTACAGCTACCCCGTACCTCCCCCATTCACATTATATCTGCTAATAGTAATGCCCCTTTATTTCCCCTTATCCCTCCCTTCCCACCCATCCTCCATAGTCCCTTTCCCTTTGGTAACTCTTAGTCCATTCTTGGGTTCTGTGAGTCTGCTGCTATTTTGTTCCTTCAGTTTTTTTCTTTGTTCTTATATTCCACAGATGAGTGAAATCATTTGATACTTGTCTTTCCCTGCCTGGCTTATTTCACTGAGCATAATATCCTGTAGCTCCATCCATGTTGTTGGAAATGGTAAGATTTGTATTTTTCTTATGGCTGAATAATATTCCATTGTGTATATGTACCACATCTTCTTTATCCATTCATCTACTGATGGACACTTTCTTGGCTATTGTAAATAGTGCTACGATAAACATAGGGGTGCATCTGTCTTTTTCAAACTGGGCTGCTGCATTCTTAGGGTATATTCCTAGAAGTGGAATTCCTGGGTCAAATGGTATTTCTATTTTGAGCATGTTGAGGAACCTCCATACTACTTTCCACAATGGTTGAACTAATTTACATTCCCACCAGCAGTGTAGGAGGGTTCCCCTTTCTCCACATCCTTGCCAGCATTTGTTGTTGTTTGTCTTTTGGGTGGTGGCCATCCTTACTGGTGTGAGGTGATATTTCATTGTGGTTTTAATTTGCATTTCTTTGATGATGAGCAATGTGGACATCTTTTTATGTGTCTGTTGGTCATCTGAATCTCTTCTTTGGAGAATTGTCTGTTCCGATCGTCTGCCCATTTTTTATTCGAATATAAGCTTTTTGCTTGTTGAGGTGAGTGAGCTCTTTATATATTTTGGATGTCAAACCTTCATCGGATATGTCATTTATGAATACTGTAGGATGCCTTTTTTTTCTGCTGAGGTATCCTTTGCTGTACAGAAGCTTTTTAGCTTGATGTAATCCCATTCGTTCATTTTAGCTTTTGTTTCCCTTTCCCGGGGAGATATGTTCCTGAAGAAGTGGAAATTGTTTATGTCTAAAAGATTTTTGCCTAGGTTTTTTTCTAAGAGTTTTATGGTTTCATAACTTAAATTCAGGGCCTTGATCCATTTCAAATTTACTTTTGTGTATGGGGTTCAACAATGGTCCAGTTTCATTCTCTTCCATGTAGCTAGCTGTTCAGTTTTGCCAACACTAGCTGTTCAAGAGGCTGTCATTTCCCCATTGTATATCCATGGCTCCTTTATCAAATATTAATTGACCATATATGTTAGGGTTAATATCTGGACTCTATTCTGTTCCACTGGCCTGTGGGTCTGTTCTTGTGCCAGTACCAAATTGTCTTGATGACTGTGGCTTTGTAGTAGAGCTTGAAGTCAGGGAGTGTAATTCCCCCCACTTTATTCTTCCTTCTTAGGATTGCTTTGGCTCTTTGGGGTCTTTTGTGGTTCCATATGAATTTTAGAATTATTTCTTCCAGTTGATTGAAGAATGCTGTTGGTATTTTGATAGGGATTACATTGAATCTGTAGATTGCTTCAGGTATGATGGCCATTTTGACAATATTAATTGACCCTAGCCAAGAGCATGGGATGAGTTCCCATTTGTGAGTGTGTCCTTTTATTTTGTCTTCAGAGTGTCTCGTACTTTTCAGGGTATAGGTCTTTCATTTCCTTCATTAGGTTTATTCCTAGGTATTTTTTTCTTTTTGATGCAGTTGTAAATGGAATTGTTTTCCTGATTTCTCTTCCTGCTAGTTCATCTTTAATGTATACAAAGCAACAGGATTCTTTGTATTAATTTTGTATCCTGAAACTTTGCTGAGTTCTAGTAGTTTTGGAGTGGATTCTTTAGGGTTTTTTATGTACAATATCATGTCATCTGCAAATAGTGACAGTTTGACTTCTTCCTTACCAATCTGGATGCCTTGTATTTCCTTGTTTTGTCTGATTGCCATGCTTAGAACCTCCAGTACTATGTTGAATAACAGTGGGGAGAGTGGGCATCCCTGTCTTGTTCCTGATCTTTGAGGAGAAGCTTTCAGCTTCTCACTGTTAAATACGATATTGGCTGTGGGTTTGTCATATGTGGCCTTTATTATGTGGAGGTACTTGCCCTCTATACCCATTTTGTTGAGAGTTTTTATGATGAATGGATGTTGAATTCTGCCAAATGCTTTTTTGGCATCTATGGAGATGATCATGTGGTTTTTGTCCTCCTTTTTGTTGATGTGGTGGATGATGTTGATGGATTTTCGAATGTTGTACCATCCTTGCATCTCTGAGATGAATCCCACTTGATCATGGTGTTTGATACTCTTGATGTATTTTTTAATTCGGTTTGCTAATATTTTGTTGAGTGAATTTGCATCTATGTTCATCAGGGATACTGGTCTGTGGTTTTCTTTATTTGTGGGATCTTTACCTGATTTTGGTATTAGAATGATGCCATAGAATGAGTTTGGAAGTATTCCCCCCTCTTCTATATTTTGGAAAACTTTAAGGAGAATGGTTATTGTGTCTTCTCTGTATGTCAGATAAAGTTCATCCATGAATCCATCTCGCTCAAGATTTTTGTTCATGGGTAGATTTTGATTACCGATTCAATTTCTTTTGCTGGTAATTGGTCTGTTCAGATTTTCTGTTTTTTTTCTGGGTCAGCCTTGAAAGGTTGTATTTTTCTAGGAAGTTGTCCATTTCTTCTTGGTTTTCCAGATTGTTAGCATATAGATTTTCATAGTATTCTCTAGCAATTCTTTGTATTTCTGTGGGGTCCGTCATGATTTTTCCTTTCTCATTTCTGATTCTGTTTAGGTGTGTAGATTCTCTTTTGCTCTTAATAAGTCTGGCTAGGGGTTTATGTATTTTGTTTATTTTCTCAAAGAATCAGCTCTTGGTTTCATTGATTTTTTTCCTATTGTTTTATTCTTCTCAATTTTATTTATTCTCTGACCTTCTGCTGACTTTGGGCCTCATTTGTTCTTTTTCCAGTTTCAATAATTGTGACTTTTGACTATTCATTTGGGATTGTTTTTCCTTCTTTAAATAGGCCTGGATTGCTATATACTTTCATCTTAAAACTGCTTTTGCTGCGTCCCTCAGAAGTTGGGGCTTTGTGCTGTTGTTTCATTTGTCTCCATATATTGCTTGATCTCTGTTTTAATTTGGGCATTGAACCATTGTTTATTTAGCAGCATGTTGTTAAGCCTCCATGTGTTTGTGAGCCTTTTTGTTTTCTTGGTACAATTTATTTCTACTTTTATACCTTTGTGGTCTGAGAAGTTGGTTGGTAGAATTTCAATCTTTTTGAATTTACTGAGGCTCTTTTTGTGGCCTAGTATGTGGTCTATTCTGGAAAATGTTCATGTGCACTTGAGAAGAGTGTGTATCCTGCTGCTTTTGGGTGTAGAGTTTT